GGGGATGTCTTGCTCAGGAGCGAGGTTGAGCCCTGCTCTTCAGGTGGCACTCAGCAACTGCCTTCGCTTTTCTCTCTCTTTCAGCTCTTTGACGGCCACTTTGATACCAAAATAGGCCCCAAGGTAGAAAGCGAGAGCTACAGAAGGATTGCCGCCAGTATTGGCTGTGCCACCAACAACATCCTCTTCCTGACAGATGTCCCTCGAGGTAGGTGGCCTGCCAGTCCTGCTGGCTCTCACCTGTGTGAGTGAGGCAGGTGCTCTTTAAATGCATGTTGCTGATTTGTCACAAGCACCCCAGAAATGCTGCAGACCACCTTGCTTCAGTGGCATCGCCCTAGCTGCTGCCATGCTCCTTCCTCACACATCCAGGCTGTCACGGATATCTGTGAACAGTATTGCAATGATGGAAAAATAGGTCAAGTAGAAAACCTGCCCTTGTGCCAGCAAGCAAGGAGAGACTGTTAAAGCAGTTTGCTGAAGCAGTTGGTGTGCCCCATTTACAAACAGGGTCAGTGGTTTTCATGACCCATCCTCGGGGGAACATATGACATCTCCTGTGCTGCAATGTGGCATGCACAGTGGCTGGTTCTTTGTGCCACTTACTGTTAGGTTGTGTTCAGCAGCAGGAAAACATTGCTCCTGGTCACCAAGACTTGACCCCTGAAAAGCCAGGCTCAGGAAGCTAATATTATTTCCTGCCTTTGCTGGAAATATCTTTCTGGCAGAAATGGCGCTGGGTTGTGATCTCAGTCTAAGCCAGCTCAGTCCCCAGGAGTTAGCCCTTACCTCCTCCCCAGTCTTGGCAGCAGCATTGGTGGGAGCTTGCAGTTACCTCCTTTTCCCTTTATCGTCTTCCTGGCAGCCTCTTGTTGTGCTTGGGGAGCAAAGGAAGCTTGTGAGAAGTGACTCCTGGTAGGGCATGTTGGACTTGCTAACACCGCAGCCCAGTCTCTTTGTGACAGGAATAGAGCTGCTGGTGCGTGCTGCCAGTATGGTGCCTTGGAGAGCCATCAGCTGGGAGAGGGAAGGAGGTGTCATGGCAGCCAGCTCCCATCCATTCCCATTACGCAGCAGCTACAGTCATCCACAGCAGGTCTGCCAGGAGCTGGGCGCTTGCTAGAGTGCTGCAGCGCCATGTGCAAATGCTTCTCTCTCAGTTTCAACCTTTAAAAGCACTTCAGTGTTTTGGGGCTTCTGCAAGCCTTAAAGACCCTCGTGTGGAGAGGTTGGTAAGCACATCTCATATCCACTTTCCCCACCTCTGTTTGTTTCAGAAGCCAACGCGGCTGAGGAAGCAGATACTCACGTGGCTGTGGTGATCAGACCAGGCAATGCAGGACTGACAGACGATGAGAAATCGTATTACAGCCTCATCTCATCTTTCACCGAACTTTTCTTGCCTTCCTCCACTTAGGGAAAGCGGTGCATGCACAAAAGACTGTGCTTCACTTGAATTGTCTTTGTGTAATGTTAGGTAATTTTGTCCATAATCACAGAATTTAAACCAAACCCACATCATGTCTTGGACCCATGACTAGTGCAGGCAGATATGGATGCAGAGTACGGTATGGGGTCCCTTGTGCAGCAGCACGGAGGCCTGCAGCAGCCAACTGGAGCTGGGAGCAGGGTGAGGAGCAGCACCCATGAGCTGTTCCTCCCCTTTCCCACCTAGCAATTAGCTCAGGGGGTGTTTCCTTCAGACTTGCCCATTGAAATCTGGTGCTAAAACACCCCACCATGAGCTCTCTCATTTTTAGAAACGGCCTGCAAACCAGGTGTATGTCCCCCTGGCTGAGAGGGACCTCCAGGGATCATGATATGAGCTTCTCCCTGCAGACGGCGTTGTTGGCTAAGTCAAAACTGTCAGAGTTAGGGAGGTTAGGATGCCCAAAGGAAAATACCAAATGTGGGCTATAATATGTAGGTTTGGGCTGCCACAGAAAAAGACAGCCCTTACTGCAGGCAAGCTCTTCAGACCAGGAACAACTTAAATCTTGGCTATATCCACAGGAAGTCTAGGTAGAAAACAGTACAACTTGCATACAGAAGCTGCTTAAAGCTACACAGCCAGCCTACCAGAATGAAGTAGAGTATATATAAATGTAGGTTTAAAAATTAAATTCTAGGGCCACCTCACTGCTGCATTGTGGTGCTGGGCTATGGGATCCAACTGGCTGAACATCAAAGTCAGCTTGACTGCATTTCTGAAGTATCTTCCTTAAGCAGTAACCCACAGAGCTCCTTCTCAGTAGCCAACATCACCCTGTCGCACGTTCATAGCACTGGTCAGCTGTGAGCAAACCTTCACAAGCAACTGCTCCTGAGGGACACATCCTGCTGCATTTAATGAGAATTAAACCCCTGACCTTTTCACCCACCCTAGCTAAATTGTGCCAATCCTACTGTAGCAAATAAAACCACAACATTGCTTTCATTGTGTTCATTCCATCCCAGTATTTAGCCTTCCTGTCTATCACCAGTGATCCCAGCACCTAAAGGCAAATCTCTTCTTTTTTTAAACGTGTGAACACTTTGTTTTCCTGCTTTTGCCTTCCCCAGTCCGTTCTTTAAGGCAGACAACCCTGTCCTGCCAAGGAAGCTGTATTAGCTCCCTGACAGTCTTAGAATTTCAGTAGGGGCTCAGTGGGGGTGCAGGAGTGACAGCCACAGTTAGGTTATACCTAGAAATAGTGGAGGCAGAGGCAGTCTGAAACCCCAGTTCTCTGCTACTGGCACTTTGTGCATGGATGTCACTCGCTACTTACTCATTTCTGTGCAGCTGTGCTTAAGCTTGCCCTCACAGATGTCCGAAATAGAATACTAATGCACTTCCTGAGCTCTGATCTACACCTACAGCTGTCTCTCTTGAGAGAGGTTGCTATGCAGAGAACAAGCAAGAGACAGGCATTTTGGGAGGAAACCACATCATGCCAGCATTGCTCTTCTAAAACTTTGATGGTAGCAGGTAAGGCAGCTAGTCTGGATGCCTTTCTGGGCTGTGTAATGATTGTGATCCTCCTCCTAGAAAGACCCTGCTAATTAGCACTGTTAGAGTAAGTGTATCTGCATGGTTGAATAGTGCCTGGCTTCCTTAAGTGTTAATTTTAATCATGGCACTGTAAATACTCACATTTTGTTTTGCCTTTGCCATCAGAAGGCTATGTATGTGGTAGGGGACAAAAATAAAATTCACTGTCTCCATAAAAGCACTTTATTTAGTGGTCATGTTTCAGCGTATACCAGTTGTCATTTACTTGTACTGAAATGTGCTCTTAGAAATACTCTAAGAAATGTACAGAGTTACCACCAAAAACTTGAATTTCAGTTTGGATTGCATATAGGAAAAGGAGAGAAAGAAAAAATCACAAACAATCTTTTTTTTCCTTTGATAAAATTACAAAATATAAAATGGTAAACTGAAAGTATTAATTGATCTTTAAAAAGAGTCACAGTAGACTATTTACACTAAGACACACTTAACACAAATCACTATTTTGTGTTCCATATGCATTGAGTGTGTGTGCGCCTGTGTAAGAGGAATCCCAACTGCATCTTCTCCAGGCTGTCTCCTGCCCTCACCCAGGAGGAGCTCCTGGATGGGCTGCTGGGGAGCCCTGCGCCTTAATGCTGCTGTGCCCTTGGGCCACCCTCAGCACATCCCTCCATGAAAGCCTCCCACTAATGACACAGCAACAAAGAGGCAGCCTTCAGCAATCTTATGACAACACTCCGTTGGCTGGAGATGCTCTGGATTTATAACACAGCTGCCTGAGAATAAATTTTGGCTCACAGAAGATAAAGGTCTGGCTGAAAGTTTTCTCCTTAGACTAGTTTTGACAGATGTTTTTCTCAACTGTTTCTCCTTTCAGGAGAGGCCTCTGACCTTGGCAGAAGACTGAATGCCCTCATGCCTTTTCCCTCTCTCAGAAATGCCACAGTGTGGTACGAGTTCCCCTTCAAATGTTTTTTGCCACCACTTTAATTTCTGCTTATTTTCCTGCAGATCAGACAAGTTGCAAGCCTAAGCTGAGTCTGACTCATGAAGAAAAACAGGAGCCATGTTCGCGAGAAGCAACTCCCATCGGTCCCCTGCCCAGCTAATACAGCAGCCTTCCCAAAATCAGGTTTTTAAACAGGGGCTTTGAGCTCCTGCTTTTTCTTTGCAAACAGACCTTCTGTTTGAATACCTCCCTTCAGGGAGGGAGAAGCCCTTCTGGTTTTGCTGTTCCCTTCCTGCACCTCCAGCCCTTAGGCCACATCACCCCACCTCCAGGGCAGAACTGCCTTCCTGCACCTTGGAAGCCTGCTTAAACCTGTGGCAGACTCCACGCAGGAGGGGTCCAGAGCCCAGGCCTAGTCTGAAGTTTGACTTCTAAGTATACAAGAAGCAAAACCAAACCCTGTGCCCAGAACCACCTGCAACGGTTCTGTTCTTACTGCAGGTGAGCCCAGTGTCTCTAACACAATGTTTTCCCCCCTCAGTGAACACACACACACAAAAAAAAAGCTTTTGAAACGTTACACCATATGTGGTGGAAGCACTAACACTTACAAAAAGCAGCCTTTTCTGGGACATCTTCAGAGCACACAGGCATTCCCATCTTAATTCAGCACTTTGCTTCCACCAGCCCCTACCATTGAGTCTGAAACACAAAGCCAAGCACAGCACGCCACTGTGCCATCTCCTCTGGCCTGGGGACAGTCTGCCCAGCTACAAGGCAGCATCGGCCCAGTCTTGTTTTTTGATCACAGCACAGCTTCTTCCCAAACCCAGCTTTACCACTTGCTGCTTTCCAAGCTGGAAGAAATGCCTGCCTGCTCACCACAAAAGCCAGTCAGTTGGGGTCTTCCACTGCCCAATTCCAAGTCCAGAAGAAGCAGCCACTTTTTCTCAGCCTACCAAGTTACACCAGTTGGCAGCAAAGAAAACAATGCTAGAAACACACGAAAGATGTGGTCTGGTGACTCGAGAACTGGCAGCTCCTGAAGATTCTTGGTGCCCAGAGAAGTCTGTTTCCTTCATGTCCTCCTCTGCAGAACAGGCTGACAAGTGCCTGTCTCAGAGGGGCATCATGAGGTCTGGCTGTTTAATGTTTTGAACAACAGGAGTGTGACAGAACCACTCAGAAAGAGTCACTGGTAGCACAAACTAAACAGCTTGTGCTCTCTCATGCTGCTGCTGAGAAGGATCCACTCCTCTTCCAGCAGACAGCTATTTTTGCTTGGCTCTTAATGAGACAGCCACCCTCAGAGCCCTTTGGCAATACAGTCATGATTGCAATGAAAACAAACTCATCAAAAAAATGTAAATGAGGTCATGTTTAACCCATGAGACCACACCTGCCCCCCCTCCCCCCTGCCAGAGGACAGGCTACACCTGATCTGTCTGGTACTCGGAGGCTTCCGATAAGCTTTCAGAAAAGCTCAGAAAGTTTTCCTGGTACTCAGAGCAAACAATCTCAAATCTGTAGTGCCTAAACTCTACTGCAAATGTGCTGAAGTAGCACAGGAAGCACATCACCAGACCCCACTGGATCCTGGAAGCATGCATGTGGATGCCCTGCGCCATGAGGATGAAATCTGGAAGAGGAAAGTCAAGGAGAATTAGTGGGAGCAGAGACACCAACCAGGATGATAGAAAGCCAACAGGGAAGACAATAAAATCTTAACAAAGTCAGATGGATGACAGTCAACCCAGCCAGCCATCATCAGGAGAGGGTGAACGTGGAGCCAGAGATGGAAGGGAAGTCAGGTGTCCAACAATCCCCATGGAGCACAGCAACTCTCCTATATGGACCAGGCTTCCTGATCCCAATTCAGGCTGATAAACATTTACAGAGGGAAAGACTTAGGCACAGGGAAGCCAATGACCTGCTTGAACGTCCAAATAGCCAGTGACAGAGCCAGCAAGCTGGGGATCTGGCTGTGGGCACCTACCTGCCAGGATCCTCCCAGTGGGAACTGGATCAGATCTCTGCACCACAGGCAATGGAAACACCTTTCAACCTGCACTGTGCAATCTTTCATTCTCTTTGGATCACTTGCAAAATCACCCCTCTCTATGAAATCCGGAAGCATCAGTCTACACAATACAGCACATTATATTGAAAGGAGAAAGAATGCTGTCAGAGCCAGAAACTGTCCTCCAGGCTCATGTACCCACCTGTGTGCTCTGACCATGTATTGCCTGACATTGGGGTCTCACTGCTGTGCCTCAGATTGTGTTGGAGTACTCTATGAAAGCAATTCTCAGCTTCCCTAAAGCAGAGGACACCTACCTGAGCTGGGGACCTGTCCTAGCCCAATGCACACCTCCTCTAAACCTGGCTTTTCTGTTTCTCAGGATTTCCTCTGCACTCCAAGAATGCAGGTTCACACTCTTACATCTTGCACAGGAAAACCAAGCAGCCTCTCTCATGCTTTAACTGCACAACGCAGGTAATCTGAGACTTTTTGTCTTGAGCTTAGTGTAAGCAACCACAGCTTCATTTCAGCAAAAAGCATTGTGTGTCTGGCTTTAAGGATCTTCTGCGTTCCTTGTAGTGCAAGGGTTATGCACAAGCTTCATGGGATGGGACACCAACCCCAAGCCTTTGCAAAGCCAATAGTGGGGTGTAGTGAGGGGTGGGACTCCTGCCTCAGCCTGCCCCCCCTCCACAGAGGGCCCCCAAAGCTTTCAGTGCCAAGCAGCCACCTGGGGAAGGCTGGGCTGCGAGCACCCAGCATGCCAGTACAGGAGCAGCTATGCCCTGGCTTACCCAGCTGCTCCTGGCAGAAACCTCCAAAGACAGCAGTGCAGCAGCTTGGCCCAGCGCCCTGCACGCAGCCCTACCCCAGACGCACCCTGGGGGAGCTATGGGCTTGGGGCAAGGGGAGGAAGGGAGCACCACAAGAACCAGGCAAACTCCCATGTTACCTACACCAAAGTGTGATGAGCAGCTACACATTTTTCCAAGGAAGCTTAAGAGGTGACTGATGGCACATCTTCACACCAATCTTCTATTCCTCTGGACACTGGCTAAAATGTTCAAAAGCAGCCAAGTGATTAAGGAATTGTTTTAAGAACAGGCTGCTCCCCAGAGAGGGGGATTATCTTATTCCTTGCCATTTATTCTTGTGCTTTTGTTTATCCCAGCACTAACGCTGATGCAACTACACAGTGAATGGATCCACCCTAAGCAAAAACCCAGGGCACGTGAGTGCTGGTGCGAACAGAAGGGCCGGAGTGGGGCTGACAGGCCCGAGGTGGAGAGAAAGCCACATGTACATCTAGTCTCAGTGGCCACAGACCCCACAGCCCAAATCCCACTTGTAAAGCACCTAGTCTTAACCTGAAGCCCACATGACTGTGATAACTATCTTAAAAGGCAGAGCTGGATGTAGCACCCTGCAACGTTTCAACAAACACACGAAAATCTTCTCATCTTCAGAAACCTAATTTCTTCCCTTGTTCCTTTGTTCTCCTGAGAATTTTTATCTCAATATTTTGCATAATCTTAAACGCTACTGTGTAGGTAAGCAGTGGTGCAATCACATTGCACAGCTACCATTCAATGTTGTTACCACTTTGGTTATCACTAAGAAGTTTTAGAAACATTTATGAAGGAAGCGAGCCCATCTGTGAAGCAGTGCATCCTGGCAAAACACAAATAGCAAAACGAGCTAATCATAGGACCATGCCATGAAGACAAGTTGACTAGTATTCCTAAATGCTTTGAGATCCTAGGATGGATGTGAGAAGAGCCAATGTTCCCTGCTGCAAAGAGTGTCGGACACGTATGATACCTGGCTTCCCAGGCAGCGGAACAAAAGGATACAGAGCACCACACAGAGGGTGATGCTGGCCGATAGGGCTACTCGTGGAATTCCGGCTTTCCGTCCCTCGTTCTTCAGGTTGATCTTGAGGGTGAGGGCAGACTGGATCCAGCACGCCAAGGTCCCAAAGCCAAAGGTCAGTGATGTGCCCACATTGTGTATCTCCTCATCATTGGAAAGCTAGGAACAAACAAAATAGTGATTGTTTGGATGCAACGGGAATTATCCGCTAGCTACCTAGGGTTGCTGCTGGGGTGGGATAGAGGAGACTGTGGTGAGACAAAGATGCTATATCATTTCTTCTGGCAGAGGTGTAAGGTGTACGTAACCAAGATGGGTTGACAGCTGTCACAGTCGAGCAGATCTTCTGCCCAAAGCCCAAGCACAGTGGAAAATGCAGTTGCTTGGGGACTGCCTCTACAGCCCTCTGACAAGACTCACCACAATGCAGAGCTCAGAAATAAAGCCTTCTCTGGCTTGATGTGATGACTAGGGCAGGTAAGGACAACCCGCTGGGTCTTGTATAGCTCCCTGAAATGGAAGCAAACTGTGCAGCCTTCAGTGCCAGCTGCATGGAGCAGTGCTTTCTGGGACAGAGGGTATCCAGAGCCCTGACACCTCCATTGGGCTGGCACAAGCCAAAACACTTGGTCCTAGTTTGGGAAGTTTCTCCCACCAAAATGTTTGACTGCTTGTTCCTTCTCCCGCCCGTGCTTGACCATTGGTGGCTGAGGCAATATGAACCCAAGCTCTCTTGAGTGCAAGTGCTTCTCTGTTCCTTGGGGTCCTGTGTCTCATGGGACTCAGTGACTATGCAATACCGCAAGGCAAAAGGACAGCCAGGTTCAATGAGCAAGAATCTGTAGAGGTCCCTTGAGGCTGCAAATTCATTCAGAAAGCCCAGGATGGACAAGACTTAAGCCAAACAATTTCCCTTCTCCTTCTGCCTGAGGCTTTTCTAGAAAAGAAATCAGCAGTCTAATTCCTCCCTGCAGCCTCAATTCCTGTTCAGTGATTTAACAAATTCTCATCAAATAAGATAACAGTCTACTTACTGCACTTCTACTGATCTTCCCCTTCTCCCTACCTTGAGTTTTTCTTCAAGGGTAGGTCCAAATCATAGTACAGGAAAAAGTGTGATTGAGCTGCCTTTCCCAAGGTAGTCTGCACTGCAAGGGATTCACAACCATAATGTCCCTCTAACACACCCAATCTGTAATTTTCCATAAATATTGTTTAATGCCACATTCAGCTTAGCAGTCAGGCAGGGAAAAGCATGGACTAAGTTCTCATTACCACATGCTTTCAGGGTTTGGCAAAAGATCTAAGCAAGGATACAGGTAACTAACAAGGAGTGGATAATTAGTTCAGAATTTATAACCAGGCATGATTCAAAGTATCCACTTTTAAATAACAATCATTTGCTCTGAGGAGCGAAAAAAGGAAGGAGAGGTTGAAACTGCTTTGTAGTGCCTGCCCTTTATCAGAAATACTCTTCTCACACTTAGACAAGGCTATTACAAAAGTCTCATAGTTCTCAGCTGGGAAGCTCTTGTGAAAAAACAAGACTCCATTTTTGACTTGTGCTGTGGAGTTAGGAACACCAGGTCCAAAATAGTCAAATTATCTCACACCTCATTAAAAAAAACCCAAAAACCAACCAACCAAACAAACAAAAAAAACCCCAAAACACCCCAAAAAACCAAAACTGTAAAGGACACAAAGTTCCTGCAATTTCTCTGCAACCCAAACAGTTACTCACTCTTCACAGAACAAGTACCTTTTCTGTATTGACAGGAAAAACAGCTCCTGCCTGCAAACCCAGGAAAAAAGCCAGCCTAGACTGACCTATCTCAGTTCCTGCCATTACTGGGGATCATTACTTGCACCCCAGTGAGTGGCAGAGCATCAAAGAGCACCAAAGGGATGGGGAAACGCAAGTGCCACTGATTCCAATGCCTTGATTTTCACTGCAGACCTAACAGACAGTCATTATCACAGTGGGCACCCAACCATACAGAGCAACGTTGTGGCACTGACAGCTTGTTTGTTTGTATAATGTTGCAGAAAAGATAGAGAATTGGAGGGACCTTATCCAGGTACCTGTCACATTAGAAGCATAGCACTCCTCTGCTGTGTCCCTCTCATGACCAGTCTGAGGACAAGCAGAAAGTAGATTTAAACAACGTAGGTTTTAAATGAAGGACACTTCATTTAAAACATGTCTGCTAAATCTGTATGAGCAGCTGTGCATCTGTTCACAGAGATGTGTATGTAAACTTTCAGCTCAATTCTTCTACCCAGGACCATCTCTGCCAACTCCCAGGGCTCAAGAGATTCAATAGTTTCCCTGCTCTGGCTCTTGGCTGTTCAAGTGTAAGCACACAAGTGCAAATCCTGCTGGGAATACATGAACCATGCTTGTGGTTCTTCATCTCAGCATGCCACTGGAACCATGTAAGTGGCAGACAGAGGTGGCAGAGCAGGTACAAGGAGGCTGTATCTGCTGGGGTGGGGGCATAGCCAGACACATCATCTCCTGAGCTCACATCACAGGTAGTTCAAAGACCTAAACAGATCTGCTAGAAAAGCAGGAACCTCACAGCACCGACACAGTGGTCCAAGCCTGGAGTGCAGTACCTGAAAGTTGCCCAGTAGAGTCATCCCAAAAGACGCCAAGCATAACGCCACCAGGCCACTGATGTTCAGCCAAGGGTTTAGCACCTTTGGCTTCAGCTGAATGAAACGCAGGACAGCCACGACAAGTGCTGAGAAGGAAAGAATGCAAAGTGCGTTATTAGTAGAACATGCTGCAGTAACCACCTGGCTGGGGGCTCACGGACCCCTCACCATCTTTCCACCCAGAGGGGAGAGTTCACTGCAGGCCAAGCTAGCTTAGTGCTTCTGCATGGCCCCCTCCCGCTTAGTCATGGATGAGACTAAACACAGCAAGCATTTCTCTTGTAATCCAGTTATGCAAGCTCCCACGATTCCTTTTCTCATGATGTTTTGTCTAGGAGCTGGGTTGCAAATTTTCTCGGGGAAAGAAGAGCACCTTCCTATTTGCCTGTGAAGCCCCCAGCGCAGTCTGGCACATACACAGCATGCATTCACATTGCGACAGCTAGCCTTGCATCATTTCAGTCCACTCACAAGCACTGAGGTCTCTTGAGGAGGTATACTAAACCCCACCTGTGTTAGAAAATGTATGAACATCAGATACGTATTCCTGCGGGTTTTACTCTAATGCCCACTGCCTCTTCTTCTCCTCTGGAACAAGTTGATGGTGCCATGAACATATGCCAAAATATTGCACTAGTTTTCCACGAAGACGGGAAGAGCAGTCCTTCCAAGTTTACAATTAGCCCAAGCACTATGACAGGATATGATATATGATACATGATATAAACAATACATGATATATCACATGATATGGCACAACCCCAGGAGATATTCACATAATGTATTCTTGCCCTCCCTAGGGAATGCTGCATGGACATGCTGCACGGACATTCGTTAATGCTTGCCTGCAAATTTGCATTAGCAAATTAGATCTATATTTTCCACAAAACCCCTGGTATAATACCAAAACCATGATTTAGAATAGTAAGGTCACTGTAAGTGAAAAATATCCATTTTTATATAAACTGCAAAATATGTTAGAATTTACTCTCTCACAATTTGTTCTAGTGAATCAATCCACTCCAAATCCTTGAAAGCAAGAGAACTTTGCTCCCCCAAAAAAGAGAATTTATGTTTTTCATCCCCAGGTAATTGTTTTGGACAGCCACCCTGTGACTTGAGCTCACGTGCAGGAACTTTTTAATTTCTATTTCCACAGGGCAGGATCCTGAAATTATGTGATCTTTTCCTAAAATGCTGATGGGAATGACAAAAGGGAATTAAAGGGTCACCTTCCAGCATTACATGCATTTTCAATATTCAGCAATGCCTATGTTTCCAGCAGGTTTCTGTAGTTTTCCTCTCCTATAGCAAGGGCTTTGACACAACTAAGGTGGCCAGAGGTACAAGCTAAAAGCAGCTCTCAAAAGCACCCAATACAGCAGAGGAAAGCTTGGCTTTATCCACAAAGCAGAGATAGAATAGAATATTTCATTTGGAAGGGACCAAGCAGACTTCTGCACCCAGACCGTTGATAAACGGCCCTAGAATTGAACCCTGAGGAACACTGCTGGTGACCAGTCACCAGCTAGATGTAGCCCCATTTACTGCAACCCTTTGAGCCCTGCTCTTCAGCCAGTTCTTCACCCAGCGCACTGTGTACCTGCTCATCTCACAGTTGGACAACTTGTCTGGTAGGGCACTGTGAGGGATAGTATCAAAAGCCTTACTAAAATCCAGAAAAACTATAACCACTGCCTTCTCTCCATCCACTAGGCAGGTGACCTTAGGATAGAAGGATATCAAATTACTTACACAGGACTTTCCCTTTGTGAACCCATGTTGACTGTGCCTGAGGATTGCATTGTTCTTTAATTGCCTTCCAATCGCATCCAGTATGATCTTCCCATAATTTTTCCAGGAACTGAGGTTAGAGTAACGGGTCTGTAATTCCCTGGGTCTTCCCTCACCCCCTTTTTGTAGATTGGAATAACATTGGCTAGCTTTCAAACAGCAGGAACCTCCCCAGACTCCCCAGACCTTTTGTAAATGACTGGGAGGTCCTGCCATAACATCCGTGAGCTCCTTTAGTACTCTGGGATGAATCCCACCAGGGACTTGTGAACATTCAGCTGATATAGCTGGTCCCTTACAATTTCAGTGTCCACAAATGGAAAGTCACCATTCCTGCACTTGTGGTCCTCCAACTCAGGGGATCAGGCAGCCCAAAGTCTATCACTATTACTAAAGACTGAGGCAAAAAGCACATTGAATACCTCTGCTTTACCTTAATCTCTATTAGTCAGTCTTCAACAAGTAGTGGTCCAATGTTTTCTTTAGACCTCTTCTTGCTATTTACATACTGAAAAAGGCCCTTGTTATCTGTCACAACACTGGTCTGTTTCAACTCTAATTGAGCTTTGTCCTTTCCTGTCTTCTCCCTGCATACACAAACCACAGCTCTATAATCTTCCTGCGAAGTCTGACCTCGCTTCCAGAGATCATACAGTTTCTTTTTCCTCTTGAGCTCCGTGAGGAGCTCCCTGTTCAGCCAAGCTGGTCTTCTGCTTGCATGACTTACACCACAGTGGGATTGCCTGCTCTTGTGTTTTTAAAATGTGGTTCTTAAAGACCGGCCAGTAATTGTGGACTCCTCAACCCTCAAAAGCAGATTCCCAGGGTACTCTGCTAAATAGCTCCCTGAATAGCTTAAAGTTTGCTTTGTTGAAATCCAGGGTAGCAACTCTGCTGTCCTTTTTTCTCATTACACCAAAAATTTTAAACTCAACCATTTCATGGTCGCCATGGCCAACACAGCCACCTACCATCACATCCTCCATGACAGATTTGCAGTCTGGAGGTTCCCTGGTTGTATTTCTTCTTGCAATGGGAAGAAGCAGCAAAGAAAGCATACAGTACAGCTTAGCTTCAAAAAGCTGCATGTCTTTTGTTTGTCTTCACACCAGCTGCTCCCCTTACGCTCATTCAACTGCTATCCTCACGTCTATGCAGATCACATGGTGAGTGAGCATCAAGCCAATTCCTGCCCTTTCATAAAGCCCTCGGACTCGCTGGGACTTGGTGCAGTTCCACAGAAGCTGCTTGAACAGTGGTCTGCAGAAATGGGGCCTTACCTGGAAGCAGCTGAAAAGCAGTCATGTATTCACTACTGTCAAACAGCCATGTTAACATAAGAAGCAGCATGCTATGCACATGTTGTTTTAAGTGGTTTGGGGTCAGAAGTTTAAATCATATCATCATAACCACATTGCACTGGGTGTCAGGCATATAAATAAAATGTATGCAAGACCCTGCCTTAGCACAAACTGGAACCAGAATTAATTCTGCTAATATGTATATGTATTGGCTCAATATGTATATCAAGATCTAAACTTGAAACAAAGGCATACACAGAAACAAAGGAAAAGGATGCTTCAACTTCCTAACCTCCACCCTGAAGTGATACTTGAAAATAAGGAAGATCATGTCAAGGTTCATGATTAAACATATTGTATCAGGTTTTATATCCCAAGCATCATTTTCATTATGTCAGATTAAGATTGTTAAGGTATCTTACTTGTGCACATACAGGTCTGGATTAATTTCAATGCTCAACTCAACTGAATTTCCCAGGTTTCTGAAAAGAAACATTGTGCCTCTCACAGGCAGCAGGCATGGAACCCACACTTTGAGAGAATAGCTCAGAGCAAAACTGAAAGCACAATAAATCGTCCCAAATAGGAAAAGATAAATGCAAGTACTACTAAAGAAGAGCAAATCAAGGTCAAAATAATGAATTATTTGCCATTTAAGTTTGGGATAATTTCTTCAAAATAGCTACAGATGACAGTAACAAACATTTTTAAGAACCAAACACAGACATATTTTTTTCAAGTATTTTTCAGATATTTCTTCTCTTTTTGGTGTTTCCTTCTTACCTCCACTGCTGGAAAATGCCAGTAAACTTCCTAAATTCCGTTACTACATCTGTGGAAGGGGTGGGGTAGAGGGAACTTCAGCATCGATAATATTTTGCATAATCAGTTGCTGCATTTGCCAATATTCCCATTCAATTATCCCACATTCACAGCATATAACAAAAACCCACCATACACTGAAAAACAGTCATGCAGATTCAAGGCTAAGATGAGACAATTAAAAACATGAGAATAAATCAGAAACCAATAAAGTTCAAATGAATCTGGCTTCATTCTGTGTTTCTATGAATGAAGACAAAATAATACTGTCTTAATCAGTAGTAGTCGCAGTTTAAATGATTTTGCATCATCAGATCCAGGAACAATATGCATGGGATATTACTTATGTTTCACGACTGCTTAAAACAAATTATGAGAGAGAAACACTCCCCCTGTGGTTCCTACCTAGAAATGCCGCCATGTTCATGACTTGGCTAAACACACAGCTTGCAGGAGGTGTGTCACCTGCAATACTTGGAAAATATAAAGTGTATCATTGTAACTCTAGGATGGCAAAGTTACATAAATAACAATGATTAATCAGAACAGTATTTGAAAGAAAATAATTCACTTACCTTATATAAGGTGGTCTTTTGGAACCAGGTTTCCTAAGAGACATAAGTCCACAAGAACAAAGATTCATGATTTTCTTTCCCATTTAACTTTCATTGTTTTATTATTTTAAAGAAACAAGTGATTGATTGTAAAGTCCACAACCAGTTCTTACCTATCTGGTACATTTAGTGGGAGAATTTTGTTATCTTCCACTGCGATAAAGTACCTGTCAAAAAAAGAAAAAGAAAAAATATTAAAATATTGTAAAACCTTGGCTTCAATTCAAAATATCACTCAAACAATACATTAAGTGTCTCAAGCCCACTGGCAGGATCTCCTGCAGGCAGCCTGTGTTTCTCTCTGCTCAAGCAGGCTCACTTCCCAGCCTATGTGCATTCCTTTGTGCTGCATCTGTTTTGCACGGTCAGGTAGACAAACAGTGGCACTGAATTGAGCTGCCTTAAAAATAACCAACCAGGAGAATGTTTTCATTTTTAATCTGAATCACTGAATAATTTGATTCATCTGGTTTACTGTGGTTCCCCCTCCGCAGAAGGTGTTTTAATAGAAACAGAGGGGATGGGACAAGAAGAACAATAAGCAATAGGAGTCAGACAAACGGCTTAAGCTACCCCTACTGCTGTAAAACAACATCCACAGACCACGGCCAAAGCCATATCCAAGCCATATAAGGGGGATATATGCTCAGCTCCGGCTGAACACAGTGGCTCATCACACATTTATTGCTTCCACATTCATGCTGCGGTCCTCTGCATGTCTCGTGTGCATTCTGGTAAGAAGTGTTAGTGAGAAAGTGAGATGTCAGTATTAAGTCGCTGGCAGGTTGTCGGTGCAGTGCTGGATGCTGTGGATTTTGAGTTTGCACCCCAAAGCAGGGCCTCAGTGCTTCTCCAAGAGCTCTCCTGAGTCATTCAAAGAAAACGTGATGAAAGGGAATTTTTGCATTTTTGTCTGTCTCTTCTCAGGCAGCCCCCAGTAACGTGTGCCAGGAAGAAGGCAAGGTCCAAAACCTGGCCTAGAGAGCACAGAAACTCAGGGATAAAAATGCGACCCTCCAAGCCATGAACTGGCATAGACTGGCCCCTGCCACTATCATATGGCTTCCCAGCCCCATAGTAACTCAAGGACAGAGCATCCCCAAAAGGCACTACATACTGAGACACAGCCCACACCACAGTGGTACTTCCAACTGCCCCACCCTAACTTGCTCTCCCAAACAACCAGCAGGAGATAACTTACACTATCCATAATCCAGCTGATGTAAAAAGGGTAAACACAAGGGGTAAAAACATCCACACGCTGCATTTCTTCCCATCCATACCTGCTAGAAACAAAGAACAAAGTAAAAACAAAAGAAAGAGGGCAGAGGTACCAGCCAGCCTTGGTCCCCCTCATTTGAAAGCAGAAAGAGCATCCACACAGCAAGTGCCAAAGCATCCCAAGATCAAGCTCCTAATGACCAGGCAGCAGGCACTGCAAACCTTTCATACTGTCATTACTGGCATAAGGGGTTAAACTGCTGAACACAGGCAGCATCATTGGCACTGTGCATAAAAAACAAGGCACAAAAAGCCTGGAGTTGTGGAGGTGGAGAATTCTCAGACACACCTACAGAATCTGAGTAGTTTTCAAAGTATTTTTCTTCAGCATTTTATACAAGGTGACACCGCAAGACCCACAGTCCTAATTCCCTGCTACTTCCCACAGGCACAAGGCAAGGCAGCCTCCTTCCCAGGATCATTAACAATTCCACACATGCTGCCTCAGCAAAGCCTGCAGCATGAAGGGAGAAGGATGCACGTGCTGTCTCCTCATCTCCACAAAGCATACGACCAGCTCCCATCCTGGCCACAGCAATCAGATAAAAATAGCATTTGGCCACACCCAGAGCAGAGCCAAGTTCAAGTGCCAGCACCCAGAGTACTGTCAGGACAAGGCATTACAAACAGGATCAGCTCTTGACAGGTAGGCACTGTGAAATCCTGCATGGGGCATAAGGATGCTGCATACACCATCTCCTGAGGAAGCATTTGTCCTCCAAGCAAAGATCATGCTGCATGAGCATCTGAGATGCTGGGACTGTTCCTGTAATATGTGCGATTCAGAACCACTGCTATGTTGCTGTGCTGCGGACACAGAGAGTCCTACATCTCCCTGTGAGTCCTTTGTCAGTGGATCAAGTATTTCCTCATGCTCTGTCCTCCTTCATAAATGTTCCTCCAGGCACCAGCACAGCCAAGAGACACAGAGGTCGAAAAATGCGAGGCTCACAGCTCCAGTGCCTGCTTTACTTTCACCAGGGCAGCAGCACCTGTGCGCCCATGCTCTGCGTCCTCCTCCCTCCTATCACCTGCTGCAGGGTAGGCATTTCCTGGGGTCACCAAGGTCCCCACAGGACAGCAAGGCACCCTGGGTTGCCATGGCATCTTGGACATGATGGCCTTTCACTAGACCCTGCTTGTATTTGCAGCTAAGTTACCTCATCCAGGTCCTTAAAGCAGTAACTTCCATTAGCTCCAGAGAAGAAAGTACCCACGTGTTGTCATCCTCCTCCTCTCAGCTCTCCTGGCCTTTCTACATCTGCAGCACAGGAGCCATGATCTCTCTGGACTGCTGCCCTGCTCTCTCCCCACTGTGAGGACCCACAGAAGAGAGTAAGCACCCTCACCACATCACAGCCAGCCCCCAGCTCACCACTCCCACAAGACAGCCCCAGGCTGCAAAAGCAATGCTGGCTGGACACTGCTCGGGGCCCCAGCTGCTGACTCCTGCCCTGTCCCACAGCGGCAGAGGCCAAAGGGGTTGAGGTGAGGCTCCTCAGACTCTGCAGAAGTCATGGCAGCCTCACACTTACCCCTATAGGTCAGCTGTCCTGTCTTGCCTGCACATCACCTGTCAGGGGTACAAAACAAGACCCCCAAGCCACACCACACTTGCATGAAACCATGAGGCCATGATGGGGTGCTGCCTGTACAGATAGCCTCAAGTGAGGCTGAATTGCAAACCTTAAAAGACAGAAAAGCAATCAGATAAGGTCTCTTCCCTGACCTGGGAGCAGAGAGAAATGCAGACAGGGAGCATGACATGATGCAAGTGTTAAGTACATCAATCTAAAAGGCAGTCAGCTCCAGAATGTATACGGATCTTAAGCATAGTGTAACAGATCAGAAGAAATTATCAATGATGATGGACTAGACTTCCCCACCCATCTCATCTCTATTCCGTCTCCTCCCGCACAGAAGGCACAAAATGTTTCACAGCTCTGTTCCCCGCACAGCCCCTGCTGTAGCAGTTGCAACTGTTCTGTGAAGCGCTGCCCTTGCCTTTTCCTCCCATCACCCATCAACATGCAGCAGCAGCCCTTAGCTAGTGTTGACTATTGCTCTGGTATCAGGACACCCGTACTGGCCATGTCAAGGACTGCTTCCAGGTGGTAGCTGCTTCATTTGTGGCAAGGCCGTGTCCCTGCCAGACCCTGGCAGCACAATGCCCAAGTGCCAGCACCTGACACAAAGCAGCCATAGCGGTAGCCAAGTTCCCTGCTCCCGTCTTGGCTGAAGGGGAGCAGGCAGGTAATATCACCTCCTCTTCCAGCCTGTGTTTCCTCTGAGAGGTAATTACCACTATCGCAGTGCTCAACTCTCCTCTTTTCACTGGTGGTGGCTAGACTAAGCCAAGGTAACAAAATTCTTTCAGGTCAGAGGATGGTAGATCTTATTATTTACCCTTCCTCTTTGCAAAGGTACAAAGGCAATAAAAGCAAATACTAGCCATAACACTTGTCTTCATTAATGGGTTGCCACAGCTCCTCCGCCTTCCAGCATGCCTCCTGGCCAAGAAATAACAGCCTTCACAAGCTATTTCAGTATCGTCTGCAGAAAGGGAGGAGTTGTGGACTTTTCCCCCCCAAGCACAGTGGCGAGGCAGCGCACAGGGACTGGGACTCCACGCCAGGATGAGGTGAGGAAATGCAAAAATGCTGTCCAGATAACCATTACTTTGCGCTGAGCTCTGCGATGGAGTCGGGGCACTTCTGGTGCCCAACCTCACCAAAGTCAGTATGATACAGCTACAGATTCGCTCCCTTGGAAAACAGCCCTGTGTGTAAAATTCACTGTGCCATACAGACTCTCTTTCTATCGACTACTAACAGAACATGACATTCAAAATCATTGCATACTAAACGAATGACTAGCGCAGAGCACATTATTCCGATGGGAAGCCTGGTCCATAGTTCAGAGAACACGTTCATTTCAGCCCCTTGAAAAGAAATACCTAGAGAACATACCCCCTGCACACCTCTCATCACAGCTGGTTGGGTTCACACCGAGAAGGAAGGACAGCACTCCCAGGGAGCGCCACAATGGCCTTACATGGGGCCAGGTCTTCACCAAAGCTCAGTGCAGCCAGGCCTGGACCTTTTGGAAAATAAGCACCCCACATCAGGCTAGCTGGCCTCACAGGGTTCTGAGCTCTGGGCAAGTTTGCCTCTCATGGCAGGCAACAAGAACTGACCAGGAAAGGATGTTGCCACTATGCACCCTCTACTGATAGGCTCCATGCTGAGGCATGGGTGTAGGACAACACAAGCTCGTACTCTCTGGCATACCCTTGGAAGGAGAGCCCGGGGGCAATGGATGGACCACCGGCGTTGCTGGCCCCTGCCAGCCCACACAGGAGGAGCGAGCCACCTGCGTCTGACAGATGAAATACCAAAAGCAGGAAATAAGGGTCCCTTTCCCCCATGTCCCCAAATGGCAACACCTTTTAATGCTGTCCATTGGCACATCCCACACATGCTTGAAGATGTTTCAACATCCCCATGTGGGCAGAGGGTGGTTTAAAACCAGGACTCAGCTCCTGCACATTTCTCATTTACAGTCCGCTGTGCTATTTGGGTGCCAGGAACAAAATTACATACAACCTCACTTCCTTCCAAAGGAGAAACCCCAAACATGTGCCAAACCTGCCTAGCTCTGCACCAGTGTTTAGTGGATATCATTCTCGGCAGTTGCCTTTGGGGTAATTTCTCCTCTTCAGGGATGGCCCCAATGTTCATGTCTTCAAGTCAGAAGACCTCTGTGCATGCTAAAACCAGCACCTCTAACAGCAGCCAGGAACAAGAGAACAAGGGACCCAAATGACAGCCTCCCCTGCAGCACCACAGCAGCTTAGCCAAAATAAAATGCCAAGAATGATAGGAAAAATAACCTAAATTCTCCACATGAAATGTAGAAACATTTGACAGCTAATTGTTCCACATGGATGACATAAAGCTAGCATTCCTCTCCACAGCTCTGTTCTGCATTGCTGCCATGACCAGTGGGGCCAAACCTGAGCAGTCAACTCCAGTTGACAACAACAGCCTTCCTCCACTGGCCCATGTTTCCCCAAATAAACACACTGCCTCCAGGAGGCAGTTGGTAAACATACACACCTGTTTGTCTTCCATTTTTAAGGTTTGCACAGGAAGACCTTTAGCAACAGAAAGCCTTTGTGGTGCAATGGATTCACAAGACTAATAAAAAGGCGTTTTCAGCTTTGCAGCTGACCCCAGCCAGAGTCAGCCCACCTTCCCAAAAGCACATGCTGTGGTTTTCCAGTCCCTCTTGACTCACGGTCTCACAACAGCATTGCAAAAACCCCGTTGAGGTGTGCTCCTGCTGCCAGCTATCATAAATCAGGGTGCAGACTGCAAAGGGTTTCACATTAGCACTGCCACAGGGTGTGTCTTGAGACTTTTTCCTCAATGCAGGCTTACTCCCCTATCTCCATTCCCATTTTTATGTCTAAATCTACTCAGACTGTCAGCTGTTTGCTCTGCTTTTATTATCATTGCCCCACTACACCCTCTCAATCAATGAAGCTCCCATTCCTCTAATGTACACACTTCAATTACAGCAGGCAGCTCTCCAAACATACACTGCTGCTTGCTCAAGGTTCATTTATTGTGGGCGTCTTAATTACATCTGCCAAGCAAAGTTACAGGCTCTTCCTGAAGTTGCTTTCACCATGGAACATAAATGTAAGGAAGGACAAAATTACCACATTAACAGAGTTGTACGTCTTTTTTAAGTCTAGAGGATGCAGATGTATTTCAAGGACCCATACACAAGCTGCATAATAAGCCAGAGCAACACTCCTGCATTTCACAGTGCTAGGCCATTGAATCATTTCAGAGAACAGGTACAGAGCCAGAAGCACTGGAAGAAGGAGCACGCTGTTCAAAACATACAGCAAGGCATAAAGAATTGTTGTCAGCCAGCAACAATCAAAGCGGAACAAACACAATTTGTCTTTCAGGGGAGCCCACTATAGCTCTCTGTTGCTTTTAAAAGCAAAAATAACCACAGTCACTTGATACCTAATCACTGTAACTGAGCGGATACAAAGCAGCACATTACGTAACCTGCCACCCACAAGCCACAAATGCCAACATAACAAAGCAGAGAGTTTTCTGGTTTATCTCAAGGTTCCCAGCCTGAGCACACAATGAGACAGATAAGGTATGCCAGAGACTTGTAAATACATAACAAAATAGTGGGGTAACAGGAAAAGAAGTGATCCCTCAGTCAGCAGAATATGATGATCTGCTTGCTCCGTGTACTTACATACCATCTCAAGGGTGTACAGAAATGCTATTTTAATTTATTTTTATGACAGGAAACGGAAAAGGCAAAGACATCTCCAGACTGCGCATGGGGGAAAGGAGATGCTTCAGTAATCCTGCAATGATGTTGAGAGGCAATGCTTTCACCCACAGAAACATCCACACATATTTCTTGTCTCTTCACACTGTAAGTGTATTCAGTGTGCTAAATGAAATGCTCTGTCCAACAGAAACCTAACGGAGATGGGTGAAGCGCACCAAAGGAATGAAATCTTCTAGTCACCAAAAAACAGGGGCAGAAAAGGCTGCATTAGCATCTGCTTGCCCACACTGTCCCTCCAAGTTTCCCGGAGAAGTTGTCTCCTGCGGTTGTGTGAAATTAATTTGTTATCAGTTCTGTAAATATATATATTCAGCCTTTCTTGAGTGCCTTGGTAAGAAGACCATGCGACCAACAGCATGTTCTACCCAGAGGTACTCCTGCAGCAATGCTGGGTACAGAGGCAAGCGTCACCCCTCTGCACCGTACTGTCCTTCAAAGCGTGCCCTTGGTATGCTGCTTCGTGCCCTCAGTCACACGTGAGTACTTACAGGCCATTTAGGAACTGGTGTTGAGCTGCTGTGTTACAGCCAGAGACGTCGACTGTAAACTCTTCTGGGCTGAGTCTGCCTTCCTTGCATTTGGCGTTGTACAAACCAGGCACGTCCTGCTTCAAGACCGGGCTCCTGGATGTTATAAAAGAAAAATTAATATAATTTGCCACCTTAGGATCAAAGGGGTGTTTTGCAGGTTTTGACAGCTCTGTGCTCTGACCTGTGCACCCACATTGGCCCACGCTGAATTCCATGAGGTCCCACTCATACCATGAGCAGGGCTTGGACAGTCATGGCCCTCAGCCTGCAATAGGAAAAGGAAGCAGAGACAGGAGCTGGGTAAGGCAGAAAGTACACATTCAGTTCAGGCAGAAAGAGCTGGGTCAGCAGGAGGTAAAACCAGTCGGGAGCAGTCAGGGCTTAGAGGGAGATTCACAGTGAGCTGAGGAGCACTGCATTTTGCAGGTGCTGTGTGTTTGTTTGCCCCAAGAACGCCGTTCTCCTTGGGAGTGCTGACTGCAAGATTCAGCCCTCCCAGCTCTTCATGACCTCAGAAGCTGCACGATCCAGGCAGCATACAGCCCCCAGCAAGTCCTCACAATAAAAGTGTGTTGGACTGCCCATGTCCCAGGGCAGATGCCTTACTCACTTACTCTGCCTGAGAGCAGAGGTGCTCAAGAGTGCGGCCACTTTAGGCAGACCTCTCCTGAGGGAAGTCTCTAGCGGAGAGTCTCAACGCAGACCCAACCCCACAGTCCCACACCATCACCACAAGGGCATACACACAATTAGCTAACTCTTTGGTCTGGGATGCTTGTGAGAACACCACTTAGCCCAAAGTCCCAGCCAAACCCCAACGTGAAGAGTTACTGGAAAATGAGGATGGCTATTTATCTCCTTATAAAATAAAAGGCAGGAAAGCTCTCCCTGCTTCAGCTATGCTGTGAGGAAAGAGTCCCTGAAATTATCTCCTTGCTTTGCATGTAATACACAAATGCAGGCTGATGTTGTGGCAAAGCCCAGAAAGTCTGAGGCACCATGCACAATGGTGTCCAGTGATCATCCTTAACCACCCCAATCTAATGACTGCTGCCTGAACCAGCAACAAGCAGAACAAGTGTTTCTCCTCCCATAAGGTACAGTGATCTTGATGGTGTATTAATAGACTGACAGAGGCCTGCAGAGGTGTTTTATTTGCTCCTCAGTTCCAAAACCACAAATGCCTTCAAGCATTTTCAATGTGCATGAGCAAACAAAGCCAAGACACACATTACAACGGAAGGGGGTAGGAAGCCTGCCCAAAAGGTTTGTCCCATTATCAGGAAAACAATGTAAGTGTTGGGAGTGGCAAAGAACAAGCAACAGGGAGGCAAAACCTGGCAAAGAAAGAGACATATAAGTCATGTGGACTTACAGATAACTTTGAAGGTAAGGGAAGACAGACTAAGCCCAGAAGAGCAGACTTCACAGAGCAGTTATTCCTGGTTATATTGTCTTCTCATATAGTGGATGAGAGAGCGTATGCCCTGGAAGGCCAGAACAGTTCCAGGCTTACCTCCCTTTGCTACCCTGCCACTGTTTTTTTCCCCTAATAAACACAAAACATACACTCAAGCTACAGAGCTTCCCATGCAGTGTAAGCAGGGCTTTTCCCACATGTACACTTCGTCTTTCACGTGTCTTGTTCCTTCTACCCCTCTTTTATCCACTGTTTGGAAGCACAAGCTCCTTTCTTCACTCTGCTTTGCAGCTCTATGCTTTTGAAGAGATGTGCACTGTCCCCAAAGCAGCATTTCCTTCAGTTACACTCATGGGCACCACCAGCAGAAGCATACATACCAAGCAGTCTGCACTTGCCAGCCATGGGGAAAACACTCAAGGCCTGTGAGCTTTTAGGGACTGTGGCATAGAACACTGACCTTTCTCAGGACAGTTTTCCCACACCGGCCTCTTCAGCCTGACGACTTGTGCCTCCTCCACTACTCACATGGCAAACTGAGGTTACCTTCCCCTTGTATTAAGCACCAAAGCCCCAGAGAAGCAGCAATAAGATGATGCGCTGGAGGGTGAGCTACCAGGAATGGATGTACAATCCATTCCTCTAGAGTCATTACTCTAAGGTAGCCCTCTCTGGCATAGAGATTGTCAAGGGTACAAACTACCATGTCAATCTTTTGGCTCCATTTAGACCCGTGGAAATCTTGCCCTGAGACAAGTACAAGGTAAACAATCATACATAGGCATTTCTGTGGTGTTGATCACTCCTACAAATAAGGAATGCTGGCTAGGCAATTAGTTACACTTATTTACCAGTATCGCAGGCTGCTGCAAACATAAATTGCTATTTACAGGATGCTTGTGTGAGCTACAGGAGGCAGGTGCCATAGAGCATTTCACTTCATGCAAACCTGTTGCAAACTACCAGGGAACAGCCTCCACCTGTTAAACAGAGGCCAAGCCTGCAAGCCTGCTGTGACCAGCCTCTCCATCACATCCAGAGGGCTTAAAACTTCTGCTGTCTTTTGAAATCTTTTCAGAGACAGACTTTCCTGTAACACAAGAGACCACATTAAACCACCTCTGAGAGCATTCAAGCCGGGCCACAACTACATGTGGAGAGGCTCCCTGACAAAGCTGCGACCATCTCCAGTAGCTTGGCCAGGCAAAGTCCACTCCTGCAGTCCTGTGGAGAGCAGGCTTCCCTCCTGGCTTGCACACAGGACTGGCCCTCCCCAAGGGGACCAGGTCTGCATGCCTGCCAAAGGCAAACACTTCTGGACTGAGCGCTCTTACAGAGAGACAGCTGCTCCAGCAGGCACAACCATCCAAAGGAAACCTCAGCAATAAAAATTTGCATGAAACCCTATGCAAGGTCATCTATAGCTATTTCAACAGTTCCTTTCATGGCTTTTGAAACTTCATCAGTCTTTTCTTCTCGTCCACCCTCCCATTCACTTCACCCTTCTCTCTCTACCTGTTCCCAAAGTGCTTTCTTTCCCTTTCACCCCTCTCACCCCGCCTTCATCCCTGCACCTCAGGTGACAGCTGCTGCAACCTGCAAGGACCCAAGGAGAGGGAAGCCAGGCAGCTAGAGACCTTTGCAAGTCTTCTTGAGACAGCAAGAAATATCATTATTCCCATTTTAGACAACAGTTAGTTACTTGCTGAGAGGTCACATGGGAAATTGGTGGCACAGAGGAGCGTGCATTCAGAGTCCTGGTCCAAGCCTGCTACCACAGCAGCAGCCTCCTCACCTGCCAGTCATTCCCTATCACCATTTATTCCTCCCAATATATTGCTTAGGATTATATCTCTCATTTCCCACAGACCTTTCTCTGCTTCTTCGCTCCCACTTATCCTGCAATCAGAGCTCATTGTTTCAGCTTGGACCGCAGGATCAGGACCTTAAAGTGTCTCTGCTGGGCCACATCTTGCAATCTCAGGCTGCCCGGAAATGGCTGGGGGAGGAGAGGAAACTGTGGACATGACATTTCTTCCAAGAAAATACAATTGAAAACATC